TCAGCCTCCTGAGTAGCTGGAACTACAGGTGCCCACCACCACGCCTGGCTAATTTTTTGTATTTTTAGTAGAGGCGGGGTATCACCGTGTTAGCCAGGATGGTTTCAATCTCTTGACCTCGTGATCCACCTGCCTCGGCCTCCCAAAGTGCTGGGATTACAGGTGTGAGCCACCATGCCTGGCCTACTGTAGCTATTTAATATGTGAAATCTAAATGGTATTTTTGACTCAACAGCTCAGACTTGTACTTCATGTAGTCAGAAGTTTTTAGACAGCAACTAGTTTATTGTCTAGTTTATTATTAAAGAAATGAACCAGGCCAGGTGTGGTGGCTCACGCCTGTAATCCCAGCACTTTGGGAGACTGAGGCAGGCAGATCACTTGAGGCCAGGAGTTCGAGACCAGCCTGGCCAACATGGCAAAACCTTGCCTCTACTAAAAATTTAAAAATTAGCCAGGCATGGAGGCATGTGCATGTAATCCCAGCTACTCGGGAGGCTGAGGCAGAAGAACTGCTTTGAACCCAGGAGGCAGACATTGCAGTGAGCTGAGATGGTGCCACTGCACTCCAACCTGAGCAAGAGAGTGTGACTCTGTCTCAAAATAACAAATACAGATAATGAACTGGATTGCATTTCTGTTAAAGAGATGATATAAGAAAATACAGTTTTTTTGTGAGAATGTTTGTATCTCTTAAAAGATAATCTGTTTTAATTTTCTTCAGATAACAAGTTATTATTTTTTAAGAAATCAAGTTTCACATGAATAATGCTGTGTTGGAAGGCTTTTTGATTTAAAATCTTTTCAGATTTATAACATCCTGTTAAGTTTTAGGAGAACCCGTTTTCCCAGATCAGATTCGAGCTTCTAAAAATAAATGCTTTCAGTAGCAGGAATGGCATTGCTTAAAAAGCTCATGGCAGGATAAGCATTTGGGTTAGTGTTTTATTAACATATTTGTAAGTACTTGTTCATTGTGGAAATGTGTCCTTGAGTAAAACCATATGTGGCTATGGAAACCATGTTTGTAGTTTTGGATACACGGGTTTGTGTGTATTTAGTCTATTGTATTAAATTATTATTGCCCTCAGCTTAACGTAAGGATTACAATTGGATTTAAGTAGATCACTGAATGTTATTGTTTATGAAACTTAATTTTTTGTGTGCCACTTATAAACATGATCTATAAATCAGTGCTTGGGAAAATTTTACTTTCTTAATCTACTGATACAGGAATAAAATATGAACAGTTAAACAGGTTGATCCTTGAATCTGACTGATTTATGACTTTTTTTCCTCCCAGAATATTATGCCCATTACTGGTAATATGATAATTCTTGCTGCTTAGTCTAACTGAAATTGTTTTTATTTCAGTGCATATCAGGGTGAATCTTTTCATTTAAAAAAGCAGGGCTGGGCACCATGGCCCATGCCTGTAATCCCAGCACTTTGGGAGGCCTAGGCAGGTGGATCTCTTGAGCCCAGGAGTTGGAGACCAGTCTGGGCAACGTAGACCCCATCTCTACTAAAAATCAAGGCCAGGCACAATGCCTCACACCTGTAATCCCAGCACTTTGGGAGGCCAAGGCGGGTGGATCACTTGAGGTCAGGAGTTCAAGACCAGCCTGGCCAACATGTTGAAACCCTGTCTCTACAAAAAATACAAAACAATTAGCCAGGCATGGTGGCATGCCTGTAGTCCCAGCTACTTGGGAGGCTGAGGCGGGAGGATCGCTTGAGCCCAGGAGTTGGAGACCAGGCTGGGCAAGATGACAAGACCCCATCTCTGAAAAATAGAGCCAGGCACAGTGGTGTCCATTTGTGGTCCCAGCTACTCAGGAGGGAGAGGTGGGAGAATCGTTTGAGCCTGGGCGGTCAAGGGTGCAGTAAACTGCTTACTCTGTCACCCAGGCTGGAGTGCAGTGGCACAATCACGGCTCACTGCCTTGACCTCCTGCGCTCAAATAATCCTCCCACCTCAGCCTCCCGAGTAGCTGGGACTACAGGCATGCCTGGCTAGAGAAGCTATTTCACTGTGTTGCCCAGACTGAGTGGGGCTTTGCATTAAGACTATTTTAGGTTGCAAGTGATACAACTTAACTCAAAACTATTAATAGCATAAACAAGGCAGTTATTGGCTTACCTAACTGAAACATGGAAAAGAAGGGATGGAGCTGAATTTAGGGTTGACTGGATCTAAGTACTTGAGAAGCAAGACTCTGTCTCTCTGTCTTTTATCCTAATTTTGGTTTTATTCTCAGAGTGGCAAAGGAACATGATGGCCAGCAGTTCTAGGGTTCCCTCCTTACAACTCCAAATTGAAGAAGCTGCTTTACTTCATAATATAGAACATTCCAAGCAAGGATTATGACAATCTGAGCTCTGCTTATTTTCTTCCCGTACCAGTCACTATGGCCAGGAAGAAGTTGTGCAACAGCCCGGATCTCATGCCCCACTTCTGGTAAAAAAGAGCTTGGAGTGGGATTGAGATACTGGATACTGCTATTAACGAAAAGGGGAAAGAGGCTCGGGGGGCTGACTTGATTCATGAGCTTACTTATTAACTTCAAATTTTGGTACTAAGGTGGCATGGCTGTCTTCCAGTATCTACAGCTGCACTGTGTAAATGGTAGCCACTGGCCACGTGTGGCTATGTACATTTTAAAATGAAAAATTCAGCCGGGTGCGGTGGCTTATGCCTGTAATCCCAGGTTTTTAGGAGGCTGAGGCAGGCAGATCACTTGAGGTCAGAAGTTCAAGACCAGCCTGGCCAACATGGTGAAACACCATCTC